GTATGTATATATATATATATGTATGTATGTATATATATATATGTATGTATGTATATATATATATATATGTATGTATGTATATATATATATATGTAGGGTTAGGGTCAGGGGAAAACAGCAAAAAAATGAAAAACTGAGGAACACCCTGGTAACCGTTCATCTGGACGGTATGCACAATGGCTACCAGGGTGTTCCTCAGTTTTTCATTTTTTTGGGGTTTACCTCTAAACCTCCCTCTTTATATACATGTGCGTGTGTGTATAATTAGTATATATACACTGCCACTACCCAATATCTAACAATGTGTGTATATTCACTACTGGTCTGCCACAATTATTAACAAAGAAACATAGGAAGTAGGTTGTCAGTGAGAGTTAGATAAGTAAGCCAAAAGAATACAACAAGTGGGTTGTGAGAGAGTTTGGATAAGTGAGTCAGTAAGAAAATATAATATATATATATATATATATACTCACCTAATTCTTCAAAGTGGGAGATTTACACAATGTATATACACCATGTCAGTCTTCCACTCACAAAGAAATATACAAAGTAGAATTGTGATAGAGTTGAAAGAAGTAAGAACATGACTTACAATTTTATCTCCAAACAAAGTGCACACCTCTCACAAGCCTCACGGTCACCGCTCACCGCCTCCATCGCCCCCTCACCTTTGCAAGGCATACATCCCATTCAAGCAGTGAGAGGCGACGCCTCATGCACGTTTTTAGCTGCCTCAACCGATTTTGAAAACCATGACTTGAACTTCTAAATCCAAGTCATAAAGTTTTCCCACGAATGCCAAAGAGTGATAAGTGGTAAGATCCCTTCATTCTACTATGGGACAACTCTTACAAGTCAAAACTATAAATAAAGGTTGTGAAGGTAGTAATATCAAATATTACGCGCTTCTAGACTGTGTGTTGATCATCTCATTGATTTGATGAAAATCCCTTTTACCTTTCGAAGTACTATTGTTTCTATCTTTTCAGTTCCAGCGATCATCACTGAGTCTGTTCAGTGATCACTGAAACACGCATTGTAATCCTACAGCGACAGCGATACTTCAAGAAGACAAAACTCACACCAAAGAACCTTTAGTGAATGCCGAAGACTGAAACTAAAGATTAGTGACTGGCGCGTTCGTGATCTGAAGCGGKATTCAGTGATTACAACCTGGTCAACATATGTGTGAAGACTGCACAAGCCTCAGTGAATGCTGAAAAGACCTCCAGCGTTATTCCAGCACTCAGCGATCAAATGAAGCTTGCCATGCACGATTGTTTTTGTCTTGTCGTTCCATACACAAAGGACAAACCCATACCCTTTCAAGAGTATAGTACTACACGGAGCCGACTAGTCGACTCTAGTGCCCACCAACTCCACAAAAGGATGTCTGCTCATTAATAGACAAATGTACTATTCACTGTTGCAAAGGACAAGCTTGCCTCTTAAAGCTTGACGCGTGTTCCAACCCTTCTGATTCGCATTTAATGCAATGGGTATAAATAGTTGAATGCTCTCTCCATGCACTACGCATCTATCTACATAACACATACGCTTATCTTCAAGCAAGTTAGAATTTCTCTCAAAAAAATCTAAAGTTCTTACCCAAGAACATCTTTCTGTGTTTATCTTTTCGGCAAATCTCTTCTATTTGCTAAGTATATTTATGTGTAATCTTAGATTGTTTTAGATAGGTTATCTTTACCTTTTCTATTTTCGCAAACAATCTGCAAACAATCTGTATTGATCCTTCTTTATCAATATATATTTTTAAATATGAAAGTTTTCTGTGTTTGTATTCATCCCCCCCCCTTTCTACAAACTGTTCCTCTAAAACTCTTGTAGACCTGGCTGGGACCAACAAGTGGTATCAGAGCCGTGTTTTCTTCTCGTCTTGTTTAATTGTTTATCTGTATTTTATTATCTCTTCTTTCTGTAGATAATTTACTGCTTTACAAATGGCTTTGCAAAACACAAGCACAAACTTTCACGATAATGGCTCCCTTGCCAAACCTCCCCGATTTATAAGAGGCAACTTTAGTCTCTGGAAAAATCGGATGTCTCTTTTCTTGGAAGGTGTGGATCCTGAGATCCCACATTATATAGAGAATGGACCTTATGTTCCATATGTTGTATCTCCGGTTGTTCTTGAAACAGCTACTACTGCTGCGATTCCTGAACGGCAGATATCTAAACTCCCTCATCAATGGAGTGATGAAGACTAAGAAAAAGGTGGCTATAGATACTCGAGCGATATCTATAATAGCAATGTCTCTTCCTGACGAGATCTATCATTTTGTGATGAAGCTTAGGACCTCGAAATCAATGTGGGACACTCTTTGTGTTCAATATGAAGGTACTTCCCAAGTACAAGAATCGAGGAAGATAAATCTAGTAAGACAATATGAAAGCTTTCTCTGTGGAAAAAATGAAACGTCTGAAATACATCAAAGATTTAATTGTCTTCTTATTGATTTGAGGACTGTTGGAATGGAATATTCCAATTCTGAAACTTTGACAAAGTTTCTGGAATGTTTACCAAAATCTTGGGATACATATTCTATATGTCTCAAAATGTCCAACAATATGTCCTCCCTCTCTCTAAGCTCTCTTTATGGGATACTGCTCAATCACGAGTAGTCTCGACAACTGAAGATAAATCTCATCAAAGACTCCAGAGAAATGAAAAGCTCTCCATTAGCTTTGATCTCTGAAGATTCTTCATTTGAACTCCCATCTTCTTCTATTCCTCTTTCTTCTGTTTCTTTAACGTAGTTAGATTCCACTAACTCTAAGGATTTGTCAGAGTCTGATCTTGCAGACTTTGATGAGTCACTGGCTCTTCTAACTAAGTCTTTTAGAAGATTTGCCAAAAAAAGTAACTTCCGCAGATCTCCCTTGCTGACCATCAAGGATAAGCCAAAGTCAGATTCTATTGACAAGGCTTCAGCGATCTGCTACAACTGTCAACGCAAAGGTCACTTTGCGAGTGAATGCAGGTCAAAGAAGACTGTGACGCCATCTTCAAAAACCCCATCCTCCTTCAGAGAGCCAAAGACGATAAATATCTGAAGTTGAAGGAGAAGTACAAGAAGATGAAGAGTTCTCAGCGAAAGGGCAAAGGTCTTGTCGCTGAAGAACATGATTGGGCCGATTCGTCTAACGAATCATCCTCAGATGAGGAAGATATGGCCTATCTCTACTTAATGGCCAAGGATGTCAAGAAAGAAACTTCCGAGACATCAACCTCCAGTGATCCCTTATCATCCTCTCTTGCTCAGGTATGTTCCCTGAATGAACCCTCTTCTTCTTCTCCTAGCCTATCAGCGTTAGATACGTTGACGGTTGACCTTTACAATGACCTGAATGGCAAATCAAAAGCAGAAATGCTTAATCTTGATCTTCAAGAACAGTTGAAGATTTGTCATTCTAAGATCGAAGATCTTAAAGATTAGGTCATTGTAAACCAGACCATCACTATCGAGCGTGAGCAGGCTATAGCTGAGCGTGAGCAAGCTATAGTTATGCCTGAGCAAGCTATTGCTGAATTCAAGGCTGAAAAGGCTACCAATGAAGGATGGTGCAAAGCCTCTGTCAAGGCCTCTAAGATCATCAACGTTCAGATTCCCACCAAGATTAAGACTGATCTAGGATAGTGTCACTGACAGGTCCATGCTCAAGTTTCGTACCTTTGTCTCTTCTATTCCTGACACTTCTTCCTCTCAGTCTTCTTTCACTGAGAGTCATCTTGAAGGAACTCTTGAGTTTAGGTCGCAAAGATAAAGGTAAGTCCATTGTCATAGCACCTCTTCCCAAGAAGGCTGACAAGTCACACAGATCAAGATTTATTCCTTCAACTTGTGCACCTTCTTCTTTCTAAGTCTAAGCTTAAGGTGAATGTTTCACCTAAGGACTCCAAATCCTCAGTTGTTCCTCCTAGAACAAATGAGAAAGGAATCCTTGGAGCTTGTCCCTCTTCTCCTCTGGTACTTCCTGGCCCTAAAGTTGGTTTCAGCTATAGGAAGTGTAGACACTGTGGTGAAACTACATATATTGCCAGCAAGTGTCCTTCTGCCGCCAAGGCTGGTCCAAGGGAAAAAAAAGTAGCCAAGGCTGAGAAATCTACCAAGACGAAATCTGCCACTAAGGTTGTAAAAACAACTAAAGTGAAGAAAACCACTGAAGCCTCTTCTTCAGGCTTAATGAAGACAAATAATGACTCTTAAGTCTTCAGTGTCGGGTGTTGTTGTTCCTCTTACCACTGAAGCCTCTTCGTCAGGCTCAGTGAAGACACCTACTGACTCTATTCCTTCAGGTGGCGTTTGGTTCGCAGATTCTGAAGGAATTGGAATGTTGAATTCCTTTGACCAGATTCATTTCCTTCGTTTGGTTCAATCTTTTTGACGGAAGGAATCTCCAAATTCCTATGAATTCCATAGATAAGAGGATTTTAACATTCTTTGGTAAATAGGTGGGATTTTAATGGAATGGAATTTGTTACTTTCATAATTCCCAATCTACCCTCATCCCATCTCATAATACCCTAATCTCACAATACCCTAACCTCACAACACAGCCGACAACAACATCGTCTTCTTCCTGGTGGCGAAATCTGCTACTTCTTCGTCGAACACACAGGTTTGAGTTTTGTCTTTCGATTTCGTCATGCTATAACTCGACTTCTTCCTGCTATATCTCGATTTCTTCATCTTATATTTTGATTTTGTTTCATATTCTTGTTCGATTTTCGACCTGCTTGTTTCATGTTTTTGCACGATTTCTCATATCGATTTCTCATCTTGATTTCTTCCTGCAATATCTCGATTTCTCATATTCTGTTGCTCGATTTTTGTTTCATGTTCTAAATCGGGCTGTTTAGAAGCCTCCATTTTTAGTGATTTATTTGTTGATTATGCTACTGTTTGGTGCCATTGTTGAAGAGGCAGAAGCCTCCATATAGATGAACAATTACATAATGAATATTGAAGTATACCACATAATGAATAAGCAGAATATGTACTTGTTAAGACTACTCTTACCTGTGACGAAGGTGAACTGGATGTATCATTTGTGTTTCCAAGATGAGATAATAATTTCAAGGTTCCAATTAGACCCATTTTCTTGTGCTTGAATTCTAGATTAACAGTCATTTCTAACCTCTGCCATATATCATCTATTAACATGGAATGTATAAGCTTTAGGAACAGGTTTACAAAAACAAAGATCTGGGAGATATATTTTGAGAAACTTACAATCAATTTTTACATCCATATACAAATATGTTCTGGGTTTAACAAGTTGTATTCAATATTTGTGTTTTTTTTAAAACAGGAAATGGCCCGAATTAGTCTCACGACACGAAAACGTAGGATTTTGCGGTTGTTTTTGGAAGAAGCTATGAGCGCTATTGCTTGCTTTTTCATTACAGTTTGTTGCTTAGTAGCCAAACATAGAAGGGATAGACCCCGTATCCAATATTCGTGTTCAAATATGGATCGATCTAAAATATTGGATAGGTATGCCTACGATAGTGACACCATGTGCATATCACAACTTAGGATGGAYAKAAGGTCTTTCAAGAAGTTATGTGATATGCTTGAAAGATTAGGAGGATTACGAGCAACTAGGAATATGGATATCGATGAACAAGTTGCCATTTTCCTTCACATGGTTGCTCATAATGTTAAGAATAGGGTTGTCACATGYCGTTTTCATYGTTCRGGAGAAACAATTAGTAGGTTGTTTACTCGAGTTTGCAATGCGGTTAATAGATTGCACCYACATTTACTTAAGAAACCCGAACCTGTTCGTGAGGACTCTACTGATCGAAGATGGAAATGGTTCAAGGTAAATACAATTAAAACTTTTTTTGGTGTTCACGTAGTACATTAAAAATGTGTAATGACTGTTTCTTTTTTGGTTCTAGAATTGTCTAGGTGCTTTAGATGGAACATACATAAAGTGCCTAGTGCCACTTGAAGACAAGCCTAGATACATAACACGAAAGAATGATATCGCCACAAACGTGTTAGGGGTGTGTTCACAAGATAYGCAGTTTATCTATGTCTTGGCAGGATGGGAGGGGTCAGCCGCTGATAGTAGGGTTCTTCGAGATGCTCTTCTTAGGCCCAATGGGTTGAAGGTGCCAAAGYCGTATTATTACTTGGTAGATGGTGGGTATACAAATGGAGAGGGTTTTCTTGCCCCTTATAGAGGTCAAAGGTATCATTTAAATGAGTGGCGTGATGGACACCAACCAACTACGCCAAAAGAATTTTTCAACATGAGACTTTCTTCTGCAAGAAATGTTATAGAACGATGCTTCGGTATTTTGAAAGCAAGGTGGGGAATTTTAAAAGATAATTCATACTACCCTGTTGAACTCAAAGTTAAGGTCATAATAGCATGTTGTCTTCTTCATAATTTTATAAGACAAGAAATGCCAATTGATCCGTTTGAAAACATACCTTGCTCGAATGAAACCGAAGACAATGAAAACCAAGATAATATCACTTTCGTAGGTGCATCTACCGAGTGGACTGAATTTAGAAATAATTTGGCTCAAAGTATGTTTAATGATTGGAATGCTTCTACTTAATTTTTATGCTTTGTAATAGTACAATTTAATTTTTATGGTTTGTAATAGTACAATTTCATTTTTATGGTTTGTAATGGTACAATTTCATCTTTATCGTTATTAGTTTTAATGTTACAATTTGATCTTTTATCGTTATTAAATATATGATTTGATCTTTTATATTAGGTATGTGAAACCGGTGAACCATGAGTTTGTTCTTCATTATTGTTGTTCAAATATAGGTATGTGAAATAGGTGAACCATGAGTTTGTTCTTCATTATTGTGAACAAACAGGTGAATGTGAAACAGGCCCTGTGTGTGGTTAGTTCAAATATAGGTATGTGAAACAAGGCCTGTGTGTGGTTAGTTCAAATGTAGGTGCATAGGAAATCTTACAATGATGTGGATGATACTGATAATGATGTGGATGTCCTTTGGAAAGCTTACAATGTGTAGGAGATGGTTTAATTGGTGAAACAGGTTCTGTAGGATGGAGTAGCAATGATGGACTACGTCCATTTTCTTGATAAAGAATTGTGTGAGGTCTGTTCCAAGAATCTGCAATTTGTTATCATTTGATCACTCTATTTGGCATATAATGACTGCAATTTTATATTATATATGTTAGGTACAATTTTATATTTATCGTTATTACTTTTAATGGTACAATTACATCTTTATCGTTATTAAATATAATGGTACAATTTGATTTTTTAATATTAGGTACAGCGGATAAAATCAATGGGCGTAAGTACCGTAATTGGTCAAAAATCGAAGATGGAAAACTTGTTGATGCATTGGTGAATATGGTCAATATTGGAGGATATAAAGCTGATAATGGCTTTAAATCCGGATACTTGCAACATTTGGAACAAGCATTGAAAGTGTCGCTTCCTGATTCTAATTTATTAGGTAAACCACACATCGAGTCAAGAATAAAAACCATGAAAAAGGACTGGCAAATCGTACATGATATGCTACATGGTACAATCACAAGTGGCTTTGGTTATGATAGTTCTAAAATGTGTGTGACTGCCGAGGCGTCAGTTTGGGAGTCTTAACTGCAGGTACATATTACTATGTATTACATATTACCATGTTAAGAATTGTTTTTTCAACGTTTCTCTGTCTTTTGCAAATTTAGGTACACAAAGAGGCTTCAAAATGGAGAAACAAACCATTCCCTCATTACGAAGACTTGTCTTATGTTTTTGGAAAAGATCGTGCTTATGGAAATCAAGCAAGAGACTATGATGGTTTAGAAGAAAATGCTAACATGGAAGATGGCCAAATGCCCTTTCAAGAACAACAATCTGATGAAAACTTGGACTATCCAACAGAAGATAGCCAAATCCCAAGTCAAGAGTGTACATCTCAAGGTAATAGAAAGCGCAAGGGTCGAGGTGATCCTCTTGTTGATGCAATAAATAATGCGGCTACCATACTTGGAGATAGACTTTTAAAATCATCAGACAAGTTGGTGCAAGTTGAGATAGATTTACATCAAAAGACTTCCGCGGTTGGTTCTAAACTCACCAAAATGAATTTTACTTCAATGGAAAAGTTTAAAGCATTGAGAAAAATAACACGTGAACCAAAATCCATGTTAAGCTTTTGGAACTATGAAGGAGAAGCTCGAGAAGAGTTTGAGGTACATTTTGCAAGAATGATTGTGCTTGATGGTTTAGCTCTTTTTTAAAACTATGATGTTTAATGGTTTTTGGAACATGTATTTAAACATGCTTTGGTATTTTGGCATCATATGTTCGATTGTTTAAAGATGGTGGCATGTAATTATTTTGAACAAGTTTGATGGATTTTGAAGCAATTTTAATATTAAGTAACGTTATTTGGTTTATGGTTATATTTGAGTTGTAGAGTAAAAACATCACCAAGGAATAATAAAGAACAAAGGATTTTTAGGAGGTGGGGTGGTTTGGATGTTCGTTTTCGTAAGATTATCAAGATACATGTATACACAGAAATGGGGATAATATAATAATCAAATCTAAACCTGCAAGCAAGAAAAGAGAATCATCAAGAAGTGTTTTAAATTGGAAATTCTATGAATTGGTATTTTGGCGTCATATGTGTACATAGAAATGGAACATGTATTTAAACATGCTTTGGTATTTTGGCGTCATATGTTTGATTGTTTAAAGATGGTGGCATGTAATTATTTTGAACAAGTTTGATGGATTTTGAAGCAATTTTAATATTAAGTAACGTCATTTGGTTTATGGTTATATTTGAGTTGTGTATTTTTATATTGTTTTACACTAGAATATTTAATTATTATTTTATTAAAGTATTTTTAGTTAATAAAAATTAAAGTAATTAATAATTATTATATTAAAATATTTTAAGTTTAAAAAAATTAATTTTTCAAAAAAAGGGTATTTTAGTCATTTACCAGAATTTCATTCCAATTTCAAAGCTACATTCTGTGAACCAAACAGACAGATTCCAATTCCTTTAATAGATTCCATTCCAATTCTGTCAACCAAACAGGTGGTCAACCTGACAACATTTCATTCCAATTCCTTTAAAGTCAAATTCCTTTGACAGATTCCATTCCATCCAAAAACATTATGCGAACCAAACGCCACCTCAGTGTTGGAGGTTGTTCCTAATCCCACTGAAGCCTCTTCTTCAGGTTCAGTGGATGTTGCCTCTTAACACTGCTAGACCCAAATAGAAATGGGTACCAAAGCAATTTTAAACTGTTCTCTTGTGCAGGAAATCGAAGGCATTTGGTATCTCTATAGTGGATGCTCAAGACATATGACTGGAGACAAATCCTTGCTCATCGATTACAAGGATGAAAGAGGCCCTTCTGTAACCTTTGGAGGAAACGGAAAAGAATATACCAAAGGTTTTGGTGTATTAACCAATGGTGCAACTACCTTTAAACATGTTGCACATGTTGAAAGACTGCAGCATAATTTTCTTAGCATCAGTCAGATGTGTGATAAAGATTTCACAGTGAAATTTTCTAAGAATTAATGCTACGTCTAGAGAACGTTTACGTCATCAACATGGATTCTCCTCTTGCTGAAAACGGCTGTTTTCTCTCAAAAGCTTCGTCAGATATCAATTGGCTGTGGCACAAACGGCTTTCTCATGTCAACTTCAAGACACTCAGTGAGTTGTCTAGACATGATCTCGTCACTGGTCTTCCTCAACACACCTTTGCAAAGGAATCTCTTTGCTCAGCATGTGAAAAAGGAAAACAGACAAGAGCTAGCTTTAAGTCTAAGCAAATCTCTTCAGTGACATCTCCACTTCAGCTATTGCGCATGTATCTCTTTGGTCCTGTTAACATACAATCAATAGGTGGAAAGAAATATACACTGGTCATTGTTGATGAGTACTCCATGTACACTTGGGTCTTCTTTCTAAGATCCAAAAGTGAAGCACCAGAAGAAATTATATCGTTCATCAAAAGAATAGAAGTACTTAACAATATTAAGGTACAATCTATCAGAAGTGACCATGGAACCAAATTCAAAAACATTACTATGGATAGCTTCTTTAAGGACAAGGGAATCTTTCACAACTTCTCTTCTATGAGAACTGCTCAACAAAATGGGGTCGCTGAAAGGAGATATCGAATAATCATTGAGGCTGTTCGATCAATGCTTAGTGAATCTCATCTTCCCACTCATTTCTAGGCTGAAGCTGTCAATACTGCTTGTTTCACTCAAAACCGGTCGCTGATCATTAAGAGGTTCAAGAAGACAACTTACGAACTCTTCCATAGTAGAAAACCTTCTCTTTTAGCTTTCTTCATATCTTCGGTTGCACGTGTTTTATTCTTAACAACCGTGATCAACTTGGAAAGTTCGATCCCAAAGCTGGAGAAGGAATCTTTTTTGGATATTATTCAGTATCCAAAGTCTTCAGAGTATTCAATAAACGTTGACAGACCATAGAAAAAACTATTCATGTCACATTTGATGAATCTCAATCAGCTAATTCTAAACCCATCATTAATGATGACGAAGAATTAGATGTTCTCATGTTGGACAACCTGAAGCTTCCTTCAGCAATCAACCCAATGCTGATACTCTAGAAGCTCATGATGATGCACTTATCATTCCAGTTGCAGCTAATAACCAAAGCGAATCTTCTTTAGAGATCGTTGCAGTGCCCATTAATTACATTCCTCTCTCTACTTCTAACACTGACCAATCAATGAATGAAATGCCTTCAGCATCTGAACCTCTATCAGTCGTTGAATCTGAGGCTCCTTTAGCAATTTCACCCATTGCTGAAGAATCTACAGTTGAAGCCTTATCTTCAGTTCTTGAACATCAATGCTCAGATGACAATCCTCTATGAGCTCAACGATGGACAAAAGACCATCCTATTCATCAAATTCCTGGTGATCTAAGTACAGGTATTCAGACTCGACGTGGTCTAGGTAATATTTGTCTATTTGTCAACTTCCTTTCTTTAGTTGAACCCAAGAAAATCAATGATGCTATCTCAGACCCTAGTTGGGTCATTGCCATGCAAGAGAAGCTCATTGAGTTTGATAGGAACAAAGTCTGGTACCTTGTCCCACGTCCGTCTGACAAAACTGTGATAGGCACCAAATGGGTTTATCGCAATAAGTTAGATGAACAATGTGTGGTAACCCGTAACAAGGCTCGTCTTGTTGCTCAGGGTTACAGACAAGAAGAAGGAATCGATTATGACGAAACCTTCGCACCAGTGGCTAGACTCGAAGCTATTCGACTGTTCCTAGCCTTTGTTGCCCATAAAGACTTTAAAGTCTACCAAATGAATGTAAAGAGTGCTTTCCTAAATAGAAAACAAGAGAAAGTTTATGTTGAATAACCTCCGGGGTTTTTTGACCCTAAGTATCCAAACCATGTTTATCGTTTGGATAAAGCTCCTCGTGTCTGGTATGATACCCTCTTCTCATTTCTTATCTCTGAGAAATTTGTCCGTGGAAAGATTGACCCGACCTTATTTCTAAGGAAAGTTAAACGTCATATCATTCTAGTCCATA